CCTCTCCCACTCCCCCTGCTTGTGTTCCTGCTCTCGCTGTCTCTCTCTGTCAAATAAATAAATAAAATCTTAAAAAAAAAAAAATTGCTATTTTCATTACATTCCCCATGTTGGTACTCTTCTACAGCTCGTGAATAGGCAATTTATTTACTTTAGGTATATTCAGTAACATGTCAAACTAAAACAAGAAAAAAAAATTATCCAGATATTTCCACCCAGAGATGATATAATATAAACCAAGAATATGTGACCATTGCCTTTAATCTGTTAGTGTCACATGTAAGGAATTATATAAATTGTGCAGAAAGTGTTACTATTCTAATACAGTAACCAAAATGGAAGGAAATTCCTTCACATAGCCTGTCTTTGTATTAGTTTCCAGTTACTTTCATGCACTGGAAGGGGCAAATTCAAAAAACTTTTCAAATTCCTTTCTCTAAAAAGAACCTCCTATATCAAAACAGGTTGAACATCTACTATATGCAAATTTTGTACCTGGAAAACTCCCATGTTATGACTTTATCATTCTCTTTTTCATTCAATATATTTATATTGTTTCTCAAACATGTAAGGCATTTTACTAAATAAAATACTATAAGGGATACAAATTAAAAACAGATACAGATCTTGCCCATAAACTGCTTATAGTGCAACAGAGAGAAGTTGGCCGATCTCAATTTCCCCTCAACTAGAAGGTGGATGAAACATCAGGGTCGATAGTTTTAAGCCAGAAAAGTAGACAGTTTAGTTAAGAGAAGTTTTGAAATATGCCCTCATGACCAAAGATCACAACACTAACTTTTTCCTTTAAAAAAGAAGGAAAAAAAAAAAAAAAAAAAGGAAGAAAATTCAAGTTTCTTCACTAGTTCTACATACACTTTAACACTGGTGAGGGTAAGATGAAAACGAAAAATAAGAAACTTTTTTATTTTTCTTCTTTATTAGTGGAAGTATTTATATCTTTTTATTTACTTGGATTCTTTATTTCTCTTACAAAGAGAAATATTTATATGGTTCTCTATTAAATATTTAAAAAAAAAAAGGTATACACAGGCTAAACAAAAGACATAATTCCTTCTATCTACCAAAATCCGAGACCAAAATGCAGAAAACCTAAATTTTAGCAAAATTTCTCAACATCATCTTAACATGAGATTAGATAATATTCATCAATAAAATATTACAATATGGGCATAAATGCACTGATTGGTTCTAATTACCAACAAATAACCAATATATAATATTATGAGTATTTACTTTACACCAGATAGTGTTCTGTGCTTTAAAAATTTTAATTCTTAATCTTCATACAATCCTATAAAGTAGGTATTACCTTCACCTGACAGACAAGAAAATGGAGGTACGGAAAAGGCAAATAATTTGACCAAGAGTTACAGAGCTGAAGAACAGGACAGCCAGGATTCCAAGTCAGCCTGCCTCTCTCCAGAATCATACTCGAAACCACTATGGTATACTACCTGACTGTAGCTATTACATCTGAAAGCCCTTACTTCTAAATCATCAAAGGAAAGGGTCTCTACTGTATACCACGAGGAGGCATTTCTAAACATAGAAATTTGGAAATGGCTCATTTTATAGTTTTGCTTGACAATTTACAATTTAAACTAAAATTCATTATGTTAAAGCTTTCCACTTTGCAAAAAAGCCATTAACTTTATTTAAAAATTATTTTCAGATAGGCCTGATTAAACACACATACACAAGTTCAAAGGTTGTTTACATGTGATATAATAACTAACATTTTGAGTACTTCCTATTTGCCAGACACTGTTCTAAGTGCTTTACACATATCATTTCTTTTAATTCTCATAACCCTATTAAGTATGTACTATACCCCACCTTACAGAGGAGAAGACTGAGGCAGGTGGAGGTTAAGTTTCTTGTCCAAAGCCAGACAGCTAGAGCTGGCTGTTGGACATAGATGACAGTCTGATTCCAGAACCCACGCTCTTTTAACAATTACACTATACTCATTTATCAAGATAAGGCATTTTAAAGAACTTATTATTTTCTCAAAAAGTTCTCAATGAGCACTTAAGAAGGATAATCAGAGGCACCTGGGTGACTCATTCAATCAAGTGCTGGACTCTTGATTTCCACTCACGTCATGATCTCAGGGTTGTGAGATCCAGCCTTGTGTGGGGCTCTGTGCTGGGTGTGGAGCCTGCTTAAGATTCTCTCTCTCCCTCTTCCTCTGCCCCTCCCCATCCTACTTGTGCAAGCTCATGCACACTCTCTCTTAAAAAAAGGATAATCAGCTATAATTTAACTGAAGCATTTAGTATTTTCACTTTTAACACTAAGTTAGAAGCAGAGTAGAACATTTATTTTTGAACATATTAATTTGTTGGTTTTGTTAAGTTTATATTACCAAAATTGTTACCAAGCTCACAAAATTCAGAAAAACTTGTAACAGGTAAATTGTTTCAGACATTGGAATAATGTAATTCTGGTCTGACTTTAGAAGATCACCTAATCTATTGGTCTTTCAGTGGGCACATGGAAAAGAGGTTAGAACATAAACACAGATATAGAGAAAGGGAGTGAGATACCTTGTATGAGATTTTGTGAGAATATACAAATATGGTTAGGAAACATCATCTGAAGCAAAAAGACATACCAACAATTACAAGGCAAATAATTTGACAAGTAATAAGGAATATATAATCATACGTTAGCTTATACAGAGTAGCAGGACAAGGCAGCCTTGAGAGCCATTAATGCCACTTTAAGAAGTGGTGGCTGGCTTCACAGAGAACCCATTTCTGGGAATAGGCTGCTGTGTCCAAATAACTAAAATACAATTTGGGAAATGGATACTTAATTCATTAACTTTCCTTAACCTTAATGTGAATTTACCAATCAAAAGAGTTTGTCTAATTGTAAATCTCTTTTAAAAATCATTGAGAAATTAATATAAGCTTTTAAAAACAGGTAGCTCGGGGCGCCTGGGTGGCTCAGTCATTAAGCGTCTGCCTTTGGCTCAGGTCATGATCCCAGAGTCCTGGGATCGAGCCCCCATATCACATCGGGCTCCTTGCTCAGAAGGAAGCCTGCTTCTCCCTCTCCCACTCCCCCTACTTGGGCTCCTCCTCTCGCTTTGTCTCTGTCAAATAAATAAATAAAATCTTTAAAAAACAAAAAACAAAAAAATAGGTAGCTCTTGCAACCCTGAAACTGATGGAGTTTGTAACACTGCAAAATTAAATACATTAACAACTTAAAATGACCTAGTAAGTTAATTGCTCACTTCTCTGATTTCATTTAGCACTGATCTAACTCAATGTAGAAG